AATGCTCTTCGCGCGCGAATTCCATGCGGAAGTTGCGTTACTGTGGACTGCTGGCGACAGGTTTCGAACGAGGAAATCGGGGAGCTCTCTGCATTTACATCAGGTGGAACTCTTTGAACATTTTTCACATATATCCCGATAATCGACATTCAATTCCGCTTTGGTTTCAGTTTTAAACTTACGAGTATTTTTAAGGTATTGATTGCCAACAGAAATCGGGATATTTATCAATAAACGAACAGGAAAGACAATGTCTGTTACGTTTCTTTAGTTAAGTTCTTGCATTTTGTAAACACCGACGATGTCGGGTTACTTGTAGTTTTACTTTTACTTTAGTTATAGTCACTTCATTTTTATTGAACCTAACACAAGTAGTTAATGATTTGAACTAGTTACTCGGAAATTTCTCTGATTCAAGGGTTAATCCACTTTGAAGTTTCGTCAAGTTGTAAAACTGGACAGTAACTATAAAACCTAACTATAAAACCTAGCTGAAAACGTACGTTTAACATCGTAGCACATAGTTAATTCTTCCATTCGATTATATCGTGGAGGGAAGAAATAATGGTAAAGAATTGAGCCGTTTATTTTGAAAATGGCATAAGTCATTTTGTTTTTAAGTCGATATATAAAAATATGAATGCTAACTTTCGAGAAGATTTACTTGTATTTGTTATCTCAGGATACTGATATTTTTCTCAGTATAAATAATTTCGTATAAACATTAAAAAATCACCACTTTTCATTACGGTAAAGTGACTTATGCCACTCTCAAAATAAACGGCTCAATTATTAAGAATGTAAGATTGTCGAACATACGTTGATACTTCTTGCGTGATTGAAAGGTTCAAATATTTCTGGATTCTAGGCTCTGCGAGATGAATCACGTAAAACAAATCACCTGAATACATCGATTGTTATTCGTGATAGATAAATAACTGTCTAATGATGTAAATAACATTTTGATAGTTGATCGCGTAGAAAGCATGCAAGGACATGCAAGCTTCGTTTTTCTTAGTGTAATAACGTATTTCTTTATAATAACTTATTAACACTAGATTTACGGAGCACAAAAAACAGCTGTTTTATATCTGTCTCTTATACACATCTATATTAGTTTATAAAAGCAACAATAAGAAATTTATTCTGATTTTGAACAAGTGTTATTTTAACATTTGCCGTAAGTAACACATAAATGGAATAAATAACTCATAAATGTATCTTTGCGATATGAATAATCGTAAATTAAAAAATTAGACTTTTTTGAGATTCTTTTAGTTGTCGTAAATCTGGTCCAATAATATATATCGTCGAATGTAAGCAAACACAGTTGCACGTTTCTACTACATCCGTTGAGAAACGTTTCATTCTGCACTGTGAACGCTTAGCTCGAGATATTCCATCGATCTCTCGTCATTTCGAAATCGAATGTAGCAGTGTTCTGACTAAAAAAAATCTCGGTTGACCTTCATATGACCTCTACGCGTGCACCTATCAAAAAAACAATTGATATCAGATCATGTTACGCTCGATATCAAGCGAGTGTATTTAATATGTCAACCACCAATTCAGCAGGCTCGAAAATTCTATGAAATCAAAACAGTGCTTTCAATGAAATAAAAATTGCAAAGTCAAGATGTATGATAGCGATTACTCTGACATCCTTGCTGCATTTTTCAAATCCCAAGCAAACTTGGTGAATTCAGTATATGGACGCAAAGATTCATTTTTCAATCTATAGTAAAACAGTTCCGTCTTCCATATACGATTGACACGGAGGTCAACGTGTAAGCCATTTTTCTTTTTCTATCAGCAAGAACAACCAAGCTATTCAAGTGGCCCGTTTTAGGTGATTCACCAAGTCTATTCGCGACGAATGAGACAAAAGAGGCAACATCGTGGAATAGCGTCGCGAAGATCGAGCGAACGGCGTTAAGATCTAAAAGAGAAGACAATTGATTGCCAGGTCGGTCAAGTCGTCGGAAAAGTCTGAACCCATTCGCATGGATTGGTGGGCCTTGCGCTCTGTCGGTGACAGCCACGGTATTAACATTCCTGCTCCGACCAGTAACTACTCATAGCCCGGCGATATACGCCGCGCGCCGAGAAAACACGCATACGCAGCCCTGTTTGACCCCGCACACACGCGAACTTCCACAGTACATTTGAACAGGGACCGCTAACGGAGGATATCGGGGTGCTTTCGTACCCGTTTTACCATAATAATTCGCCAACGTACAAGTACACGCGTATCTACGTTTGCACGGAGGTCGGTTACGTCGGTTGAAAGGTACCAGTTCAACTTCGTTCTGCACTCGCCCGCCCTCGCCCACACACCCCCTTCTGCCCGTTACCACCCTCTCCGCCCCGCTCCTGCACGTCCGTTTCGCCCCCTTGTCCGCCGCTCTGTCCGCCAACTCTCTCGCCCTCTTTCATCCCCCGTTATTCTCTTTCTCTTTCTCGTTTCCAGCGCGTACCGCACCGCGCCAGCCCGTTTCTCGCTTTCCCTCGGTTTGCAGGTCTACAGTCAAACAGACTCGGTCCGCTCCACCTTTGAATTGACCAGTCGAATTAAACCTTTTAACTGTCGCATTGTTTTTGATGGCTCATTTTCCCCCGTAAAATTGTTATTTAAACCCCGTGAGCCTCGGCAGGCCTCTTTACGACCGCCACGGCGGACCCGACACCTCGCCGGTTCGATCTTTCGACCGATCTATTTTCATGTTGAGGAAACGTTGGCCGTTGGTCGTGTTCACTTTCACGATCTCTGTTGGTCCTTGAACGGCTTTGTCCGATGCAATTGCACGCTCGTACGATCCGAAATAGTGGCACGAAAGAGGCTCGATTAACACTCGATTTACGGGACCCGTCCAAATGACGGAACAGTAATTTTTTAATTCACGATTATTCATATCGTTAATTTAACGATACGAATAATTTGTATGTTACTTGCAGCAAATGTTACAATAACACTTGTTAAAAATCAGAATAAATGTTTTATTGTTATTTTTATAAGCTAATATGAAACAGCTGCTTTTTGTGCTCCGCAAATATAGCGTTAACGTTCGTCCATCATTATTGTACAGTTTCAATCGATCGTGTTTCGTTCCTGCTATCGCATTCGAATACGAGAAGGGCTTTGCTCGGATCGACAATTTTTATTCATTCTTGAACTACGCGAGTCTTTCGGTATGCATTTATTGATTGAGATACTACGATTCATTTACTTTTGATAGATTGAAAATAGCGTGCCTAAAATACACTTTATATACATGTTCATTGTTGGATTTGTTCGTTTGTGTTTTCTACGCAAGAAGATTGCCCACTCGGGCAGCACACCTAGAAACTGCATATTGAATTAATTTAATTTCTCATGAAAAACGATAGAAGGTTAACATCAAAGTTCCATGATATTTGCCTTCTTTTCATCGGTTCTGAACATGGAAGGTCTCTTGACATCGCCGGCCATTTTGCGCGATATTAATTACACGGAAAACGAACAGTGCAATAAAATATCCAGGTATTAATGGAAATTTTTATTATCTCGTTTTCTACTTCTTTCCGTATAATGGCAATCTGGTTTACCGGATCCGTAATCCTTATGAACCGCTTACCCCGAGCTCAGGGAATCAGGCTCAATGAGAAATCTGGTTTATAGTGGACAGGTCAGTAATCCGTCGATAAAAAGAAAGGAGCCGGAAGGCTCCTGCGACGGGATCGATCTTAATTGAGTAATCGTCGAGTATCGAAGAGATAAGTTTCACGTAATCAGAGAACGAGTCGCACGCGGGAGATTAAAGGTATCTGATAGAAACGGGACCGTACTTATTGTTACGCGGGGTATCGCAGATAGAACCCGATACAGACGCCTCCAATTAAAGTTCCCGATTATCGCCGATGAGGAATCAGTGAACATCTCCGTCACGAGTATCGATTGCCCGCCGGACAATTTATTTCCGCTATTTATATTCGCGGGATTCGAACGGACGGCGTCGTCCGATACAAATTAACGAAAGAAAAGCTAAAGCATAATGACCATTAAGTGCGTACCATTTTATCGCGATCCCTGTTACAAGTGTACCCACATTTATTACCTTCTCCATCTAATTTACGACATTTTCTTTAACTACAATTATAACTTCCGCCGTATCTTTTAAAATCGCCGATAATTCATTTAAAATACAAATCTACAATTCGACGTTATACTCGCTCGAATCTTCGGTAGAAAATAAGCGTGCTTAGCAGTTGCAATTAAGCTGCAGAATTTTATGTAGATTTTTGTTTTCGCAGAGAAATTTTTCGTAAAACGGAAATCATGTAAATTTCTATTTTCTTTACAGTTGTTTACATTGGAAACGAAAATAGAAGGCGGCTGTATTAAAATTCTTTAAACTTTGCATTTTGCTGATTTATAACGATTTTTGTACAGTATAAATGCACAAAGACGCGCGGTCTATTTAATATATGACAATAATAATTACATTGCGTTTTTTGCAGTGAAAATTTTGAACCAAATATCTTCTTTGATCAAATTTGTCCGCGACAACAACAGAACGCAGAAACTCCATAGAAATATTTCTCGTCTTAATCGTTTTAATCCTGAAATTCTTCCGATATTTTTACTATTTCAAAACGCATTATTGATCATTACCTCCTGCTTATTGGTCAGATGTGTCACATTCGGTACTGATTCCGACACGATCGAAGCAAAAAATATTCCTGGGTGACGAAGGAAAATTTTAATTAAAATATTGTCCAATGTACATTAGTTCATTACAATTTTTTACGTGATACGAAAATATCGAATTATGCAGCAGGGATGCAATTCGAATATGATCCCATCGAAAGGAACAGTTTTCGTTTCGTGCATTAACGGGTGCTCCCTCCTTGCTACATGTATGATTAGCAACAGAACGAGGAAACATTCAACGTGTATTCCCGTATGATTAAAAACAGAACGACGTTAATTAATATAAACGAGTTTACAAATGTTCCGGTACCTTGCTCCGGCATGAACTTGCAATTTTTCAATATGCTTCTTGTTCAGAGCCGGCGGAGTTTGTGTTTCCTGCTCCGGTGAATATTCAGTGGTGTTTTGCTGGTTATTGAAGTTTACAGTTTGGAGGAGGTGGCTCCGATTGTGCAAGCTTTCTAACGACCTGCAGCAATAAAGATTTTATATCAGGAAAATATGATTTTATATAATATATGCTGGTTTGCAAAGTTCGGAATGGTATTAATTAGGATAGATTCACTATCAGTTGAATCAATCAGTAGGAATGGTTTCAGAAGAATCAAGCGACAAGATGTTATCAGCAGAATGAGAGGACAAGATAATGCGAGTAGAGTCAGGCAGAACAAGACAGTTCCAGTAGTATCAGAAGACAAGGCAGTTCCAGTAGAACCAGAGTAATATATATTGGGTTGGCAACTAAGTAATTGCCGATTTCAGTTATAGATGTCTGTTTTATTATCCGTGAATGTTAGCAACTGGACAAATTGAATGCAGCGGTCAAGGAAAAGCGACCAGAATTGGTCGATCGTAAAGGTGTCATTTTCCACCAGGACAATGCCAAGCCGCGCACGTCTTTGTCCACTCGGCAAAAATTGATGGATATTGGTTGGGAATTGATGTTACACCCACCATATAGCCCTGATCTCGCGCCATCGGATTACCACTTATTTCGATCCCTGGACATCTCCCTTCGTGGTAAAACTTTTAACGATGATGACGCTGTAAAATCTCACTTAACTCAGTTTTTGACCGAAAAGGATCAGACTTTCTACGAGCGTGGAATTTTCAAGTTGTCAGAGAGATGGCAAAAGGTCATCGAACAAAATGGAAAATACATTACAGATTAAACTTCGTTCCAAGTAAAAAAATTTTTTATTTCATTGTACAAATCGACAATTACTTAGTTGCCAACCCAATAGTTTCAATACTTGACACTTTTTAGTATTTTACTTCTGCGAATCTGCGTGGTTCACTTTGTTAATCTGTACTATACTTTGATGTTCGTCTACCAGATTTTAAAGATATAATAGAGTCAAGAAAAGTAGCAAGTTTGAAACAATGCATATACAGGGTAGGCCGAAATTCGTAGTACAACTAAGCAACGGCTGATTTTACATGAAAAATAAGAGAGAAGTTTAATATTACATTTGTTTATTCGAGGTTCAGTTTTCGAGAAAATCGACTTCAAAGATTGTTCATCTTTGAGAAGACAATAATAGCAATAATGGAAACATTGACAATGAGAGAAACATTCCGTTTATTGCGGAATTTTAATTTTAAGTTTATTCCGTTTATTATTTAACTGTGGTACAAGAATAGACGACACCTAAATGCTTTACAGAGATGAACAAACTTTAACACTAAATTTACAGAGCACAAAAAACAGCTGTTTTATATTAGTTTATAAAAGTAATAGTAAGACATTTATTCTGATTTTTAACAAGCGTTATTGTAACATTCGCCGTAAGTAACATATAAATTGAATAAATAACTCATAAATATATCTTTACGATATGAATAATCGTAAATTAAAAAAATAGTGACCCGTCATTTTGACGAGTTCCGTAAATCTAGTGTTGAAGTCGATTTTCTCAAAACGGAGCCCCGGATAAAAAAGTGTTGTACCAAATTTGTTTTTTATGTTTTTCACTTAGAATCACTCTTTGCTCGGTTGTACTGCGAATTTCAGCACACCCTGTATAGATATGAAAATTACTAGATGTACATAAAATTAAAAGATATCGTCATACACTTATTTTTCAATTTATTTAGGTCATTGAAATATTAATTACGAAGATTATTATAAAATAAATACAATCTCGACGATCGGTAAGTTCGTACAAGAAAAAGTTGCTCACCTTGAACTCTCGCAACTGTGCACATTTTAACGCGTACTCCCGTACACAATTCTTTCGAGCGTGTCAAATTAAAAATTGTTCGTCGCAATAACAAAACTAGTCCGATCCGCCAATACTTGCCATAAATGCACGAAATCCGCAGTCCAACAGCAACAGTCCGCCGACACTTTTTAAAAATTGATAATTCGAGTTCACAAACACTTCCGCGGCCGCCGGTACGTTTTCCAAAGACAATTACTTCAGTGCCCCGATTTTCAAGGGTTGCTTTCGCAGCGACTAACAAGTTCCGCGGAAATATTGCTCTATAATCAATAACAGTGACGTCAGCGCGCTACTACTTGACGATAAATATCCGGCAAGAAAACAAAACAATATTATGAATGAAAACCGCGAAGGAGAAGAAGCGGGGAAGACCGAGCGAAGGTATGCTAGAGTGTGGAGAGATCGAAAAAGAGAGAAAGAGGGAGAGAGAGAGAGAGAGAGAGAGTGAGAGAGAGAGAGAGAGAGGGGGGGAACGGGTTGGAATAGAATAGAACGACACAAACGGCCGGCTAGCGAAAGCTGCGCAAAAAAACCGCAACGCGAAACCCGGACGGTCCGTGAAAAAGGAAGGGAAAAACCGGGGAAAAAATAGTGAACCGTTCCCCACCACTTTTTCCTTCCAGCTCGGTACTTAAGTCCGGTGGTGGGGGGAAATGAAATCGACAGGACGTCCACCTATCGGTCCGATGGCACGTATACAACGCGCGATCACACGGAAACGCCTCCCACACACGACGCCGCCGTCGCTTTGTCCACGTGTATTGCGATACGTCGAACGGATGCCTCCACACACGGGCAATCGCGCACACCGTCGCAGCCAGCCTTCGGCTCTCGATTGTGTGCGTGCGTGTTGCCCGAACGTGTGTACGCCGACATAACTAAACAAGCAACAAGTGACCTTAAAATCTGCGAATAAAAATACCGGCCACTGATCGGGTATCGTGCGCAGCTGCGACCGGACAGGGGCGAAGGGGTTTAACCCGGCCTCGTACTTCGCTTGTGCCAAGGAACCACCAACAACCCCGTTGCTACATGTAAACACTGCGATCGTAGTTTTAAAAAGGCAAAAAAAAAGGAGCGCCACCACTTCTGGCAATGTCAGTTTCGTTCTACTATTTTCCAACGCTCATCTAGCCCCCCCTTCCCCCGGCGCTGCACCTATGATTCTGCCAATAAAAGGAAACTTTTGCCAATTGAGCTGAGGGTTACATCGACTCGCCCCCTTTTTTTCATCTTTCATATGCAAAAATCGAATGCGCTTTCCAGCCGGTCGGCACGGTTTTCTCCCACGACCTACAGACTCTAACGGTGGTATGTTCAAGCTTGCAGTCTTCGTTGATGCTGAAAATTATTATAATTTGTGTAGAGTTACCCCTTTTTGGCGGGTTTCGGGTTTTTAAGCGGCAAAAGCGTTCAAGCTTGAGGAAGGGTATTCGATTTGTCATCGTTAGCAGTGTTTCTAGATATTAACTCGTTATTAATTTTTAACCAGGTTTCGAAATTCATTTTTATCGCAACATATTCGAACGCCTTGAGCATTACCAGGATTTGAATAGAACGCAAAATAGTTATAGTAATATTTACCGTGGTCAATTTTAACTTTCTAGTGTTTTGGTTTCATTAGTTAAATGATTTTAATGTAATAGGAATTTTCGGTTCGAACGAACAACATTATTTGTACGTGTTGGATACTCGAGAAAGAACGCAAATGTAGCAGAATTCCTCCACATGTTGAGTCTACAATAGATTGTCTGATATTTTTGAACAGTTGCAATGCGAGAAGATCGAGCAGATTAATCATGACATTAGAGATATTAAATAATTAATAAGCAAGTCTCAATTTTCTCATTGGAAATGGAATATGGCAACGGATCCAGCAAGTACAAAGCTACCACCCGATTATGTAGATCGAAAAATACAATTATTTTTCTCAACACTCTTGACTCTCGTTTCAAAAGAGTCAAACAATTTCGTTGAAAATAAAAAGAGGAAGTTTAACATCCAGTGGTCCAATTAGAAAGTAATGTAAAAGTTCTGATGGTAGAAAGTAGTAGAAATTCCGGCTGACTGTCGTGCAATAGAAAAATTTCCATATTCAAATACATGACACGAAGCATAGGCCACATTATACGAATAAGCGATAAACGGGATTAAAATATACAAAAATAAAAATGCGGACCGCTGATCGAGGATTTTTTGCTGCCCTATCGATTTTAGATACAAGCGGGAGTTAATTCAGAAAAAGAAAATGAGAGCTGAAATAGAGGAAACGTGAATCGAAGGGGTCGAAGGAAGTGTAGATAGAAAAGAACAATAAAAAAAAATGTAGCGCTCCCTTATTGACGATTATCCACATTATTTGAGCCGGAAAGATTGATTTTGTTGAAACTACAAATGTATATAAAACGATCAACGCAGTTATCATCGAACAACCTTCCTCATAAAAGTATCATAAAGCTTGTCTGTTTTCCGTCTTTTTTCGCATTCAGCTGAAATCGCTTCGTAAAGCAGCAGTAGCTTTTAAATCGCAACGACCAAAGAGAATCGTTCCTCTATAAAAGTGGCTACAAAGTGAAGAAAAATGCGCTAGAAACAGGACTCGTTTGAACGAAAGCGCCGTGGAGGAGCAGTCAGTCTTCGAGTCGAACCGTTTCTACGTTAGTTCCGATATCAGCCGCCTAAGCAAGAGTTCGCCACTGTCCAGTAACCCTTTCACCACCACAAACAACCTGCAGCCCCTTAGTACACGCGGACACGACACCACAGACGGGGGGGAGTGATTTTTCTTTCAAACACCAACACAGCTCGCCGGCGTCTCTACCACCACGAAGATAGAGCCGATACGGGCGCGCATCGAGGGGGTTGCGCTCATCCTCGTTCCGCGTGCCGAAAGGGGTAGCTACCCTCTCTTTTCTCTGAAATCGCGCATGACCAAAATCACTTGGACTCTTTCTCGCGCTGCTCTCATTGAAATAACACGGGACGAACTCTTTCCAGCTAAGCGTAGAACTATCAAACATTTTTATCCTCCGGCATTCTTTATCTTCGACCGTCAGACGCGTGCCCTAAAATAGCGACCGATTAATAAAATGGAAATAAAGTTGATAAGTTCTCTCGTCATAGCTCGGAGTAGATGGCGAGGTCTGCCGCGAGATCTAACTACGAGTTAGGTAGAAAAAGAATGGTGTAGCTGGAGCATCGTCGGGGTTCTTAGAATCCATCTTAGGCTTCCTCATTTCCGCTGCGCTAGTTCGAAGCTCGCGTGCATGCAGTCCCGCCAATATCAGCGTATACCATCACCTCGAAAGCCTCCGTTACACCACGACGTGCTCGCACAGACGTGGCCCACCGACACACACGTCGGCAACGTGATAAAGTAAAAAAGCTCTCTGTTCTTCTCGGACCCGGCCGAGCGTATCTGTCCGTCCCTCTCGGGCGTCGCGAAGCGTACGGGCGCGTGGTCAGCTTACGAGATGTCTCTCCGTCCCTCCGACGGTGTCTATTCTATCGTTCTCTTCGTCTTCGTCCACACCAACCGCGCGGCTCGCCGTCTTTCACCCTCTCGTTGCCGGCCGGCGAGCTCCATCTCCATCCTTTGAACGGCGCTGGCTAGTCGAGTGCGTCTCGGACGAGTTCGGGGATGTTCGTGTTCGCAATCGTCCTCGTCGCGCTTTCGGACACCGCGCCGCCTCATCTTCCTCTCGCAATTTATCCCCTTCTCCACCAGCGTAACCTGTTCAACCACCACCGACGATTCCGTTGTGAGCTTCCACGATCGAGATTCTCCTCGTCGCACAAACGACTCCCTCGCTGATATCGTCTTCCTCTGGATTCGTTCAGTGCCGGCTGCTGACCCTACGTTGCCCCATCCAACAACAACTTGCCTGGATAAAGCTTCCGCAGACCTGGGGACCGGTTTACTCGAAGGACTAGCCTCCCTGACTTGGCCCTTTCCCGATTTGCGGCTCGGAATCGGTAGAAGCGGTCACCGATTTCTGCGGGGACCATCCTAGTCGTTGCAATTGCGAATCTAGTTTTTTATGGGACTGCGTACGAGGGTAGTCTAGTCCTGAGTTTGCTAGGGTAATATAAAATAATAATAATCGCTAATAGGCTAGCGATATTTAATCATTATGTTAACGCCCAACGTTCTCCGCGAGAATGAACAATTGCTGTTTTGTTAAATTTCACATTTTAGCGCATATTTTATGTCTACAAGAAAGTAGAAATCTGTATGAATGTCTCTGTTTGTCGGCAAAAACGTGCAAGCAATTCTATCCCGGTATTGACGTAAGGATAAAAGATGCAGATATCATACTTTCTCGATTGGTGTAATTTCGAACGCTTGTATACGACGTATTTGTATTTTCGAACCGACTGAATTAGTATTAACCCATCCGATACGAAAAAGCATTTCGTTTGACGGAAGGAAAGATTCGAGGAATCATCGTACTACCATATTTGAGGAAAATAAGACCCTCTTACGATTTAAATCTTGAAACTTCGAATATATTTCGAAATTATATTCACAATTTACCTTTATGCCAATCGATGTTTCTATTTTTACATCTCTATGCAAATGGGAGTGAATATAAGACTATTCGAAAAAAGGATGTCCTAACTCAAATCTCAAATGTTTTATTAGAAATCGAAAAAAAATTTGAACACATTTGGGAATGGATATCTAGATTCTATATTCCTAATAATAACTTATCAATTTGGGCGTAAAAATTTTAAACGATCATCCTTATATACCATTTTGCAGACTGTTTGGTCATCGTCAGTGAGCTTTCCACCTTGTTGATGAGGCACAAGCCCCATGATAGCACTAAATACAGTAAATTCTCCCTAATTGACGCTCGGATTATGCACAAAGATGGACAATTTGGGAAGAGGAGACACGACTATTCACCGATTGCTGACAATCGGTGACTACAAAAAACGAGCCACGAGGCTCGAATAATTGTATCTCCTCTTTCGAAATTGTCCATTTCAATGAGCGTCAATTAGGGAGAATTTACTGTACTCCATCTCCAACAAAAATGAGCAAAATCCAAAACTAAACAATCAACAGCAATCTTTCCCGTATGCATCCTCTATCCGAGTTTTTTCCCGGAGATCCTGAAGCGTCCTGCGAACGGGCTAAACTCCGTGCGAATCGATCTATTTTCGGATCGGCGAAATTTTTAGCCGACCGGATCAGCTCTAGCAGAGAAAAAGTTTTGGAATGGTTGATATCCGCGCGCGGTTTCGCGTGTTCTTTCTCAGACGCGGAGTCTTCGATGGTTCCGGCTCTGTCTTGCTCGCCGGCGCGGCGTTGTCACTTTCTCTATCGTCGGGCTGGTCGGGTCGTCTCGCACTCGTTTGATCCTCGGCTGGCTGGCAGGTTTCAGGCAGGCTTCGGGCAGGCTCAGGCAGCTTCTCGTCTGGGAGGTTTGGACGGCTGACGATAGCGGAGCCACCGTCCGGGGCAGCGGCCAAGAGGGGCCGGTGCGGCTGCTCGCGTCCGCTCGCGGCGGCTCGGCTCCGCCGCTGGTGGCCGGCGCGCGTGTTTCTCTCCCTTCGGCTTACAGCATCCGTCGGAGCTTCTCCTCTCTCCGCCTACGCGGTGCGAGTGTGCCGTGTGCGCCAGTGCGCCCGCAAGCCCGCAAGTTCGCGCTCCGCCACGCAGCCCAAGCTCTCTCTACCCGCGCGCTGATCGGCCACGTTCGTCAGCCGGGCCCCACGGAAAAAGGCACCGGGGCCGCGCGCGAGCCGAGAGAATTATACAGGACGATTTGTTATTTCAATTTTTCGACTAAAAACATAATCAAACCAGTTAGTAAACGAACGAACGAACGAACGGGCCGGGACGGGGCGAGAAGCACCAGACTAATTTTATCTAAGTACACACAACCGCGAGCGCACACCGGGGGAGGAAAGTAGACACCACGTACGACGATCGGGAACATCGCCTTTTTTTTTGCCGATCACCGGGACTCCTAGGAGAACAGAAACGACGTGCTTCGGTGGTGATTCTATTTGCGCCGAGAGATTACCAAAAGACACTCGAACGCGCGCGCGACCCTCGATCGCGTCCGACGAAACCGTGATCAAACAGTTCCATCTGCAAAACGATCTCGGACGCGGGAGCTTGCAGTGACCGTGACCAAGAAGAGGATTTTACCACGCCGCACGGACTGCCGCCGACGAGTGCGCCGACTAAATTTTTGTGAACACCCTACGAGCACGTCTCGAATTCTTCCCCGATTGGAATCGAACACACAGGTGAGTCCACCAACCGAGGATTATTCTTCTGAGTTTGCAAGGATCTTTTTGTTCCGTTATCATCTTTGGTTCACGAGGCGGCCGGCCCTACGGCGGAACTGTCCCGAAGAATTCTTCCCGACCTCCGCGGCGAACCGCGTGCCGATTTATTTGTCAATTGTTTTTCGTTTCGTTCTCCGTTGTCACGAACCTCTCGATTACGAAGCTGTCTGTCAACCGTCCCGCGGCAAAGTGTCATCTCGGAACGCAGTTGGTGGCTGACTTGCCGCGGTTCTAGTTTCCGTTTTCTTTGAATCTTGTTGGAGAAAAATGTCGTCAACTTTGCATGCTTTTTGTGCATTGAACATTGGATTCGACCGCTTTCGATGTTTTCTCTCTCGAACAAGTGCTCGGAAATATTCGGAAAAATTGTTGTCTTCGAGTCCGTTGCTTCTTTCTGTGATTGGGAAAGGTTTCAGTGCGACGAGCAGACGTTCCATCGGCGATTAGGCGATTTTCTTTCCGCCCGAGCGCTTTGTCTGTCGTCCACGGATACATTCCCCTTGTAGTAGGTTCCTCGTCGCAGGTCTTTGATTGTGGTGCAATTTACGGTGACAGTGTGCAGTGGTGATGGTGTTAATTGTGGCCCGAGCAACTAACGTGACGTAATCGTTAAACGAACACGGGAAAAATCGGGAACGCCGAGCAATCGTTGCGGGTGATATTTAATAAAACTAGTGGATAGAGTGCTCGCTGGCTTTTCGAGACTTTTCGGCGGCGACGTAAGAAACACGCGTGTGCGTAATAATAAGTGTAAAGAAATCCGATCGGAACGACGATCGTTGATAAAGTGCCGGTTACGAATTAATGCGCGGTTATTAAATTGAAATGCGATCGGAGGCGGCGATGAAACGAATATCGGAGTCACGTGGCCGCTTAATTAAAATAACACGAACACGAATGTTTTATTCGCCATCTATTAACATTTCCGAATGTGTAACGTTAATGTGCCGCGCGTTAATGAAATCGGTTTAACGAGAGCAAAACGCGGACTTATTGTGCGGATGTGAATGAAATTTTGCGAAATCTCGCCGAGATTACCGAGTTTATGAAAATGAAAAATGACTTCCGCGGGAAACGGAATTGAAATCGGATCGATCTTTCCGTCAACGTTTCTTCCATCGAACTCCATTTCAGATTTGTGAAAGAAAAGAATGTACCGTCAAAGATTACGGAAAAGAATTTAACAAATTATATGTCGCGCAGAATTTACAACGTAAACGATCTGCGAGACACGAATCTAGTGAGCCATCCTTATGCTTCTCCGTCGAAGTAGATATGGCCAGTTCTTATCCGACATAAGTAGATTCACTCGAAGTTGTCCACCGACGCGCGACGGCAACGGAATAGACAGGCACGTGTCGAGAAAACTAATAAATACGAATAGTGCGGAAAGTGTTGTTCATAAAAATCTGGTGTTTGTACAATATTCAATTAAATAAATATTCGTGCTTATTCAATTCAATAAATACACTAGTCACAAGCCTGCCTTGAAATCTTCTAAAATATACATCGAATAATACACATCGGCTTTCGTTGTACCAAATCTATTCGATCAAAATAAAATCGAAATATAATTGGTCATTAACTGTTAACACCTAACATTCTATTTTAAATAAACTCCGTCTCTTGAAGCATTAAAATCTTTGAACCGCGATGTATTAAACATAAAATAGTTCGACATCAACTAGTTCGAAATAAACTGCGTTTTCTACTGCGTGTAACAGAAACTTGTTAACGCGAATACTTGGAAATCACTTGTTGATAAAATTTCACATTCCCCGCGTCCGAGATACGAGAGAATAGTGCACGATAATTTTCTTCGGAGCCCCATCGGCTATGAAAAATTCGAGCACTTCCACGATGCTACAAAGATCCCTTGATCCTAGCGAACGTCCCCGTCGAACTGAGGGTCCGGAAATGAATATCCAGCTTGAATCGCAAACCCGGTATAACCAGTTTCGTCCGTTCGAGAAGGGTTGGGCGAGAAAAATGCACGGGTAAGCAGTCGTGCAGGAAGGGTTACTGACGGAACACCGCTCGGATGCGTTCTGTTGTCGAAATGCCGCGTGGCAGTCAACGACGCGATCGATGACCGCGTATAAACAGCTAATAATCAAACGAATCGTGTCATAAACAATTCCATGGCCAGACCGCCGGAGTGGTAGTAAAAGTATAAATGAGTTTCGATCGGGAGTGGGGTCGCACGGTCATGCGTGGGGTGGCCGCTTCGAAAATCGCGAACAAAACTGGACTGGTATAAAAAATTTGCATCGGCGCCGATTGTATCCAGATCTTCTTTACATCGGTACCTAAACGCTCTCCTATCTCTTCGCTCAACTACTACTCTAGCACTACGATAGTTCGGTCTAGGAAAATATAAGGATATTTGCAGCGAATTGCAAATAAATTGCGCTGTCGTTTTCTTGTATTCGTTGACCAGAATATCTGATTTTTACCGAACTGCCAGTCCAGCATAGCGCAGCAGTTTAATCCATGGAAATGGTACGACATTTCCAACAAATGTAGTACTATCATCTTTTCTGCCTCAACCCTATCACGCCTTATATTTTTTTCGTCCGACTATTCGATCACGGTCGAGTCTAGGAATTTTGCAAGAAATTGCATTATTAGATGAAATCATCGTCTCTGTCTCGACGCTGTAGCGTTCCGCATCGCTTGATCCTGATTTTTAATTTCGCTCCTCCGAGCGAGGAACTTAGAAAAGAGGCGCAACAAGCCTGAAAAGGTAGACGTCAGCCGCTGATTAACTCGAACGGAAGATTTCATTGTTTTCAAATCGGACGCTGATCAGACAGCAGCCGGAGGTCTGAGTCATCATGTGCGTGCAGACTTCGCGTAGCTCGGCATTGAATCTTCGTGCACAGTGGAACGAGTAGTTGGCCACCCACGTTCTTGCTTTGAAAAGCTGAATAGCGATTCCGCGCGCTCGAAGATTTCGTTGTTACTCTCGATTGTATTAAATCCTTTCGTTTCTACTCCCGATTGTGCACATCGCGGCCAATCTGCGAGGATGTTCGGCATTGCAGTGCCGAGGGCTACAATGCTCGATTCGCTCGTTTCATTCCGCGACACACTGCGAACGCGGAGCTACGCTCTTGCTAGCTGTTTCTGATTACGAGGCTACTCGAAAGTTTTTCCCGTATTCCCAATTAGGAGCATCCCTGTTTCATGCCTCGGAATTTTTGTACGAAATTTCCTAACTTTCGCCATTCCCCGAATCAGCAACTCTGCTTTTTCAAACAGGAGAGTTTGGAAATTTCGTTGACTTGATGAAATCGTCACGGTAACATTGAGAACGTCCAGCGCGTCGCGTCTTTCTACGTTACGTGAATCTTTATTTGCTCTGCATGGTTATTATTGGCAAAATATTTACTTGAAAAATCATATTTATCCTTCGTTTACCATATGTCACAATTACGTTTCGCCACTGTCGCCGCTGTTTACATGATCAATTTGAAGCAGCTAAATCGGATTTCGAACCCTTATCCGATGTCAATATTTCCGGAGCGAAGTTTCCAGTATTCCAGTGTGTTTGTCACACAGATTGCCAAGCTATCCAAAACAGCCAGAAACGTGTGTCCATAAAAACCTCGGGAAATACACTTTTTCTCGGAGAACGTCCCGCAAATAGCTCGGACGGGAATGTAAAATAGAATCCGCAAACACGTTGGCCCGGGGTCCTGCTAAGTGGTAGCAAACAGGGTGAAAGTGATCTTGCTGGTCGGGTTGCAACGGGAGCGACAGTGTCACGTTCGGCGCATCAAAGATCGATCAGCTTTGGAAAGACCGAAAGAAAAGAAAAGAAAAGGAAAGAAAAAGCGCGGAATGCGCCGGCAGCAATGCATACCGATCCTATGAAAAATGGACGAGGTCGTCCTCGATGTTGTCTTCGTTTGGTGGGAGTCTGGTCGTGGTCTAAGTGGGGGATATGTGTGTTCCGAGGGTGAACGGTACGATAACGTCGAGCAGGTCGACACGCGATGTATCGGTCGCTGAAGAGAGAAAAAAAGGGGGGGGGATGAGGTAGAAGATTGAAGGTTGCCCACGAAAGAATCGAAAGTCCCGTCGATCTAGAAAAAGACTGAGAGAAAGAGATCCGAATAGAAAAAAGAAGAAAGAGAGAAAAAGAGAGGGAGAGAAAAGTAGATACAGAGAGAGAGAGAGAGAGAGAGAGATACGATCGAAAGAACAAGAAAAAGTAGGAGGATAAGAGGGGTTGGGGTTAGTCGTGGTTGCTTGTAAGGGGTTAGTCCATAGAAAAGAGAGGAAGACGTAACGAGTGAGAGGTTAGGCGAGTAGCAGGAAGGGGTGGTAGGTTTGTATCGAAGGTGGAAGGGGGATAGTGCTAGATCGCCGGGTGGGATGGAAGGAAAAGTTAGGCTCGTGGGTGGGGGTTAGGAGGAGGCGAGGGTGAGTGGGTTAACTGCAAAACCCGATCGTCCGTGTTTTTATCTTAAGACGACTCTCCGGCTAGAATCAGCGTGGGAGACGGAGAAGAAGGGGATCCTCGGTGGTTCTGGAAGGGGTTCTTCCCGACGTTCGAGTCCGACTGGAGGGGTATAGAAACGACAGCGACGGTGGCGGCGGCGGCGACGGTGGCGGTGGCGGCGTCGGCGGCGTCGACGGTGGTGGCGTCGGCGGCGGCAGTGTCGGGATCGGCGTGCATCACGGGGTATAGAGAGTAGAGAGTCTCCTGGTGGTGGTAGTGCTGGACCGGCTGGCGGTGGGTGGGGGTGACAGTTTTGCTCCTACGGAAGAAATGGTGGGGATAAGACTACCCTCGGAGGCAGGAGTGCGTTTGCGCCGCCACCGTGGAGGTGGCATCGGCTGCTAAGGGTTGCTTATTCGCCCCAGTCCCTGGCGGCGGAGGGGTGGTCTCTCTCTCGCCCGCTGACGACGGGGGTGGGGAACCCCTCGTCCCCGACTGCAGGGTTAGG